CCCCCCCTTTTCAGAGGAGGAAAGTTAATAAGCCCCCCCTCTCTATTAAGCCCCCCCTCCCCCTTCCCAATTCCTTATTCTTCACAACAAAAATTAACGATTAACGTGGACTGATTAGTTATTGTTTATTCAGGCTGAAAGTTCATATTGTTTTTGGTCTTTGGCCGGATGACCTCCAACTTCATATGCTTAACTTTCTCAACTTCTCGCTCTAGTTCTCTGTGGAGAACGTTTTTGAAGAATAAGAATTTTGTTTTTGTTACTTTTAGGCTCCCACAAGTGAAATAAATACTTTTGACAGTGACTTTAATTGTACAACGCGTAAGTCTACTCTGTCTCATACCACGGTGTTTTTGCTACAGGTGATGCGTTTTGCTAAATTAAATAAGCCCCCCATCTCTATTAAGCCCCCCCTCAAAAGTGCTTGAAAAAAATAAGCCCCCCGGGGGGCTTAATAGAGGATTTACGGTAATCGCGGTCGAGTTTGTTGATTCTATCAAACGAGACGACGATTTCATAGTTACCCAAAGTGTTGGCAAGATTTACGTCATTACTGTTTGACATTGGGACATTTACGGTCGCTACTGCGTAACAATAACAACAATAATAATAATAGTAACAATAATCACTCCCACCCATATTTTGACGTTATCGTCTTCCAGATGAATAGGTCTTCATTTCCTGTTGTCTAGGACAAACAACTCGACCGCGATTTCTTCCACTGGCAATGTTTTTTACTTGTTTGCTTCCTGAGAAACTAACAACCTCGTCCCCAGGGCTGGCGGATATCGTGAATAAGGTATATCTAGCTGAATGACTCCATGGGGAGTCAGAATAATGATTTTAAAAAGATGAATTATTGTTCTTGATTTAGACGACTTTTTGTACCGGGGGGTACTCCTTATGATGGCCTATACCCGAAGGGGAGGCTTCCCCCGAAAGGGGTACCTTTTTCAGGCTTCAGGTATATAAAAGGGTCAGGGATTTCACTAGTTGAAGTATATAAAAGGGTAGGGAAATCTGTCATTTGGGTCTGTAAAAGGGCCCAAAAGGGCTAACAGATGAATTTTATGGCTTGAAAACGTCGGGAAACGTTCTATTTATGTGATTAATTC